CTGGCTGAATATATGACATGCTGATAACACTTTACAGAAAAGACACTAGAAAGAAGTGAGAGGGAATTATGATAAGAACAAAGTTACTATATTAGCAGCGAATAGGAATATACACACATGCATATATGTATACGTATATCCCAAAGGGTATTATACACATATCAGATGTGTGTGTGTGTGGGTGTGTATATACATATATATCATATATCATCTTAGCAGTGAAATATATAAATTTCACTGAAATGGCCTAAACACTTGGATTCTCATTACTGTTGTGTTTTGTCTAATAGGTCTTACTCTGATGTTTTCCTGCCTTCGTATAAAAACAGGAAAGAAAATAGATCTTTCTCATAGAAAAACGAGAAGTATATCTGTGAAATGGAGAAATTTCAATTCCCTTTGGATTTGAGTTAAGAGTTTCTTTTAGGGGCAACATTAACATTTGTTGAAAAAAAATTCCTTGGTAAGATCACTGGAGTAGGCAAACACTTTTAATCTGAAGCTCCTAAAGTGGGGCAAAATTACTCTTCCTAAGGCAAAGAGGGGGGGCCTAAGCTGAGGACGGTGTGAGAGCTATTAACAGGAAGGAACACGGAAAGTGAATGATTTTGTCTTCAGTAAAATTATTATTTAAAAACCTGTCTTTTTGTTGGAAACCATTGCAGAGGGTAGGCTTAAAATCAAACCGGTACAAGGGAACAGAGGAACAGCATGAATACATGCAGAAGCTAGACATGAAAGATGGGCAGATAAAGTAAGCCTTTAAGAATTTTTAGAAACTCTGAGTGGGAATTTAAACTATTATAGAATATAGGGTTACATAATCTAGTTAAGCTTATTTACTTTTAAGAGAATAAGAGGATCTGCTTCTGGTAATAACTTAGTAACTCCTATTAAACCACATTTTCTGCAAATAACATCTCTAAACTTTAGCAGCATATAAAAACCCAACTATCTGCAGGTTCTGAAGAGTAAACAAAAGAAGGCAGACACATGATGAAGGTCAATACCTGGGAGAAGCAAAAGGCACTGAGTAACTTTCCCATTTTTTAAAAAACAGCTTCTGTCTTGGGTGCAGGTCCTTGTCAGGACATGTAGGGCTGCTAAAATCCAGTCTATCAGGCATAACAAAGCAAAAGACAAGTTCAGAGTGAACTCAGCAGCTGGAATGTGAATGGGTAATATCTTGGAAAAGAGAAAGCCACAGAAGGGGCACCCTACAACTTGCCTACAAACTCTGTTCAAGTCTCTAACTGATCTGTGAACTATGGATGATTACAAGCAGCCTAGTTAGGGCTAAAATAACTGAACTGAGATTTCAGAGTTTGGAGTTTGAGTTTGGTCACAAAACAAAATACTGAATCTCTTCAGCAGAATACAACAGAATCCAGAGTCTCTGCAACATATTCACAGTCTAGAATACAAATGAAATTCACTAGATGTATTAGTCTATTTCTGTTGCTTATAACAAAATACATGGAACTGGGTATTTCATAAAGAAAAATGAAATTTATTGCTTACAATTACTGAGGCTGGGAAGTCCAAAGTCCATCTGGTGGTGACAGTAACCCAGAGGTCTCACATTTTAAGATGGTGGAAACAGAGAGAGAGAGAGAGAGAGCGAGAGAGCTTCTCATTCACTCTTTTTTTAAAGCCCTCAGAACCATGCCCATGACCACCATTTCTAATCCATTCACTACTGCATGGTCCTACAATCCAATCACCTCTTCAAGGCTCCAGCTTTTGACTATCATAATAGGATTTCCCACCCTCTTAACAGTCACTATGGGGGCCAAGTTACTAATGCATAAAACTTGGATGCAATTCAAGCTTCAGTGAGTTTGGGGGGGACATAATTCAATCCACTACACTAGACATATGGAGAAACAGGAACTTGTGGCCCATACTTAAGAGAAAAGGCAATCAATGGAGACCAGCAACAAGACGACCCAGGTTTTGAGCCATCAGACATGAATTTCAATCCTCCATTAAAACTGTGCTCGAAAGTATAGAGGAAAATATGAGGGTAGCCCAATGGCAACTTGCTCATGAATTTATATAAATACACTCTATTCTTCATATAAGATATTGTCACTTATTAAAGTAGTGATGACATAAAATAGCTTGATTATATACACTCGAAAGCAACACTGAATTTAAATTTGCTTTGTAAGGCATTTATACATAACAAACAATAACTTAAAGATTATCTTGCTAGGTACTATGAAGATAATAAAATTTAGGTATAGTTTTCAATTCTCAGACCTTGGAGTTGACTTGAACCCAAACAACTGTAATATATAGTCAAAAATAATGCATTTTATAAAAACAGTACTTAAAAGTAGTCTGAAGTCCCAGCGGTAGAAAGTTTTACTTCCAGATTTGAAGAGACAAGGATATAAGGGAAAGCTTTACAAAGGCGTTACAAATGAGATGGACCTTGAGAGACTTTTAGAATTTTTATATACAGGCATGATGAAACAAAAATGAACATCCAGGTGTACAAAGTAAAGAAAGTTCTGACTATAATAGAATGAAGTAGCAATCTTTGGCTTGAGGGTATAATTTGTGGCAAAAGTGTTAGGAGACGATGGAAGAGGAATAGGTGGGTCTGGATTGCAGGATGCTATACCAAATAGTTTAGACATCATTCTGAAGCCACCAGGGAGTCAATTAAAAGACAAGATGCAAAAGCCCAACATTATTTGCCTTGAAGATTACAAACCCAGAAAGGATTTTCATTATTTATTGTTTGTGATTCTTACAATTATCTAGTATAAAAAGCAAATGGAATAGCTTTTATAGTTTAGTGCAGGCCCCTTTAGTCTATTAAGGATTAAGTTGCCACATGAGAGATTTGAGCAAGAAAAGAATTGAGAAATATGCTATGAAATTTCTTAACTTTCTGGTTGCAAGGTGTATGTAAGATGTATTTTGTATTCTAACAGTGCTGTTAAAAAGAGTCCATTCCTACTACTCCTTGGAATGGGGGGGGAAGGAGAAAACAATTTCATCTTTACAAATAAATACTCATGCATAAAATACAAATTAAGGTTATATTACATTTTGCTAAATTTGCAGAAATAAACAAATATGTCTTTACTAAGGCCCTTACTGTGCCCTTTCTGATGTGCAAATTCAGAAGTTTTGTTTACAGCATATTATTAGGCAGTTATAAAATTACATTGAAATGTTTAAAATAGTGATAAAAAAGGCAAGGCGTGATAGAAAATATCTTAAAGCCTAGTACTATGTAAGGAAATAAATCCTTTCTTAATAATGTGTTTTTATGGTATTTCAGTTGCTTGCTGTCTAAAAGTATTAACAGAATATTTGGGGATTTTGGAATATCAGAATGTAATACCACCACAGTATCGTAGAACAGAAAAGACAGTGGAATTTTATGTTGCTGTATTCATGATGCTTATTTTATCCTTCAAGTTGCTTACTCTTTACGGTATATGACATCAAGGAAAGGAACATAGACATGTAGCCATGGGCACATTTTCTTGCATGTAAGTGAATTATTATGTCATACTTCTTTGACTTTAAAAAGCTAATGGAGCATCTACTTTTTCCTCTACATTTTTTTTTTTGTTTGATTTGGAATTTTTATGGCATGGAATGGCACCTAACTATCAATCTATATTGACATGTACAAAAATATTCTTTACGTTATATAATTTCAAATGTGGTCTTATGTAATGTTCTATGAAAACAAGGCTCACTACAGATGTGATTGATAAAGATAAAGCTGTCATTGCAAATTATCCCTGTGCTTACATAAACAAGGTGGCGGAGGGGGGAGAAAAAAATGTGATTTACCCTCCAAAAGGGAAAATTAACCCAATAAATCTGTGATTATCATTTCAATTCCTCTTATTTGCTGGTTTTATGATATTAATATATATTAAAGTTCACTTACCAAGAGCAGAAAGACTAATGAACTTTAATATATTTCCATACACTGGTGGTCAAATTGTTGTAATAAAATGCCAGATGGCAAAATCCCCACAAACATAATGGACTCACTTTTGTTTTGTTTTGCTTCAGGTTTCCTAAAAGACACTTTGTGTTCCATAACTTTGAAATTTTCGCAGATATCCTTGGCATATCTCTCTAGTATTTTGATAAAATCATTTATACCTAAATTCCCTGACAGTCAACCTCAAACATACTCTCTCTCTTTGTTGGATGATCTCTTTAGGTTCTATTTAACCTAAATTAAGATTCTTTTTGCTGTAGACTGTACAACAAAAAAGGACTAAGAAATTACAAAGTCAACACCAATTCACGATCAATATAAAGAAATAGTATACAGGTATCCTTGAATTCACGGTGCTGCAGTGGTATTACATTCTTACTCATTGTTACTGTTTACTGTGTTTGCTAAAGAGCTCAACTTCTAAAACAAGTATTTAACAGTTTAATTATAATCCTTTGCTATTCAGTTCTCACATAAAGTTTTAGGATTATATGAATAAGAACAATCCAGAGAATGTTGCCATTTTTCATTTTTACAACCTGACCAGTGATTAAATGCAGATGACTTGCTGCTTTATCTACCTTCTATTCCTTCTGCACTGACTGACAAGGTCTTGGAACACCTAGGATTTTGGACTTAACATGTCCAAACATTACACAGTGCCAGTCCAACATCTTTTAATTCTTAGATTAAAAAGACCAATACATTCTTCTCATCCCATTCTTTTCACATACTCTGGGAACAACTTGCCTTTAAGTCAGGGTCAGATCTGTGACCCTTTTTATATCTACCAGTTAAAGCAAACTCTCGCTGGCTTACAGCTGCATATGTAAAACAGTCTGTTTCACAAGCATCTCACTTTTTCCTGAATGAAAACATGAGCTCATGAGATTATCTTCTCTTTTTTTTTAGAATCTGAATAGCACCAGCTGCTTTGCAGCCTTGGTTTATTTTTGAGTAAAGAAGAGAACAAGGATAAACTGGTAAAAGAAGAGTAGGAAGGAAGGGAGAGAGATTATCTTCTAAAGGATGGCAGGAACTTGAAGTTGTACCTCAGTTTATTCACCAGCATTTCCCTGAAGTGATCTCCCATAAGGAAATAGAAGACAGGGTTGACGACACTGTTCAGAAAGGCCAAAGGCCTAGTCACAACGTACAAGGAGCTGATGACAACCTGAGTGCACAGGGACTGCGTCCGGCTTCCCAGGCGTGAAGCGATCCTCACATTCCGCATGATGTGGTAGGGCGTAAAAAGCACAGAGAAGATCACCACCGCCATGATGACCAAGTTGAGAGGCTTCTCAAGGGGCAGAGCAGTAGTGACCTGCCTGCTTCTCTGCTTTAGAATGACAGCTATCTTGTAATAAAAGAAGCACATCACAAAAAGAGGAATGAGGAATCCCAACAAGGTTAGACACATGCTGTAAATGAAGTTGTATTCAGGGTCCCCAGAACTTGCAAAATCATTACAGGTAGTGCCATTGTCAACTACCACAGGATTTATAAGATGAAGTATGGGCAGTAGCTCTAAGGTTACTAGAACCCAAATGGCCAAAGAGATTAAAACAGCAGACTCTTTCCTTTGCAGCAGGTGTTCCCGGAAAGGATACTTCATGAGCAAGTATCGGTCAATGCTGATAAAAGTGAGGAAAAGAATGCTGGTGTAGAGATTGGCATGGAGCACGTATCGGTTGCTTATGCAAAGCGCGTCTCCATATACCCAGTTTTCATTGGCATAACTTCTCATCAGCATGGGAAGGGTGCACAAAAAAGCTAAGTCAGAAATAGAAAGGTTAAAGAGATAAATGTTACTGCTATTCCAGTTCTTCAGACAAAAGAGGTAGCCAAAAACAACAGTGGTATTCCCAAGGAGTCCCACAATGAACTCAATTCCATAAAAGATGGAAAGGTAATACTTTTCCAGGGCATCCTCCGCTGCCAGCCAGGCTTTGCAAGTTGCATTCCATGCCTAAAGAAGAAAGAAAAAATATAAGGATGAAACACTGGACTGTAAATTGTGCAGAACATAGTAAAACAAAGTAACACATGAAAGGTGAACTATGGAGAGTAGGTTTTATTAGTAAAGGATGCATACATACATGTACACATACACACATACACATACACACATATACATATACGTACAAGTATACACATATATGTCACTAATATTTTATTTCAACAAATATTTATTGAGTAACTTTCAACTATGTGTGCTAGGCATTGGGGATAACAGCAGTGAGTAAAACATAGTTCTTAATCTCAAACAATTTATACTTTCTTGGGAAGAATCAGGAAATAAACAAATAAATGGTGCCATATAAAGATAAGTGCTGTGAATAAAAACAAGGAAGGGTAAAAATGTTAGAGAGTTTTAGAATGAAGGATGGCAGTGAGCTATTTTTTATGTATTGTGATAAGGGAGATGTTTTTCTATGAGATAACATTTAAGAGGAACCTAAACAGAGAAAGCAAAAGAGTCATACGTGTATCTGGAGGAAGAGTGTTCCAGACATACGGAAGAGCATGTGCAAAGGCCCTGAGGTGGAAACACACACAGAGGGCTTGGCAAACAGCAAAGAGGCTGAGGGAACTTGCAGCAAAGTAAGTAAAAGGAGAGCCTAATTCACTTTTTGTGTCTCCAGAACCTGCCATGGTCCTAAGCACATTCTAATTTTTCAACAAATTCTGCTAAGTTAAACTGAATTGAACCATAACATAGAAGAGGAAATAGGGATTGTTAGAACTCCAGTTTCACTATTTTAATAGCTCTTACTTGTTTCCATATTGCTAAAAAATTATTCTTATTTTATTAAATTGATAAAATAAACTCCAGTTTTAAAACATAATTTTTTAAAATTTAAAATATAAAACTAAAAATCTTAGTAGTAATAACAGTGGCCACTATTTATTGAAAGCTTATTGTGTACTATAGTACAATTAGATTCCAACAAATGAATTGGGGGGTAGAAGAAGGCAACAATATCCAGATCATAGGCACTGCTGAGGCCATCCATATAGTAAAAGACCCTCATCTACTACCTTCTGAATAAGGGCTGTGAAAATAAGCCATTGATCCATTCAAACACCAGGTCTCTTGCTAACTTGCCATTTTCTTTCATGTAGTGAAGCCAGATTGTGGTTAGAAAAGGCATTTTAAGGACATGCATTATCTGAAAAGTGTACTGGATCACCATTGTTAAATATGAAATCTTACTTATTCTAGTGAGGAAAAAGCAAGTTTGAAAATAAAATTTTATAAAAATCTTCTTGTCATATAGGCTCCTGAGTATTGGTTGCAATCAAATGATTCTTTCAACATAGTATTTTGGTAAATAGAGCAAAATAAGAACAAACACACCTAAACTGCTTTTTCCGGGATCCATGCAAACGATCTGGAAAACTCATATATACTTTTGTCAAATTCAGGTTGTGTGCTTCAGTTAAAAATTGCTGGTATTGTGAGTGTTTTCTTTATGAAAATAAGTCATGGAATTGTAGGTATAAGTTCAATATTTTGATGAGTTATTTTTAATCACTCACTTTAAAACGTCCTAAATTCCTCTGAGCCTCTCAAGTCTTTGCATGGCAACCTGCCACTAAGTCTAAGTCAAGATAAAGCTACATGGAAACTTCCACAGGCAGCAGAGACGTGAGTGCTGCTGAAGAAACAAGCAGACTGGTTTCCCGCTGTCTTTGAGGTTATGTGTTCCTGCTCTCTCACATTGCCAGCCATTTATTACATTTCTCCACTTCATATTTTTCCATCTTTTCAAACCTCTTCTACTTATTCTGCCCTACTCATCATGAGCAGATTGTTTTGTCTCTTAGTTCACTGAGATAGAGACCGTTTTGTTGGGCTTACTCCAGATCCAACTCATTCCCAAATTCTCAAGATTCCTATGCTGTCCATTTTCTCCACTTTTCTATCTCTTCAGTCTTCTTCACCATCTCGACTGCATTTTTCCCATTGGCATTTAAACACACTTGTCAGTTTAAGAAATAAGGAGCAGATATAAACAAATCTCCTTGGTTTCACATGTTCCTCCTCTTCATAGCTTGATTGCTGAAAAGAGTTGTCTCACTAAGTGTTTTGACATCTTGACACCCCTTCCCTTTTAACCAACTCTGGCTTGGCTTTTGACCCACCACTCCACCAAAATAGCTTCCACATTGCTCAATCCAGTAGTCATTTTTCACTAGTCTTATTTGACTTCTCAGCTGCTTTTCATATCATGGCTTTTGGAAACACTCTTCTTTTGCCTTCTTTGACCTGACAATATTCTGTTTTTTCTTCTTTCATTTATTTTATTTTAATTTATCAGTATACAATGTAGTTGATTTTCATGTCCCTTTACCAATTTCTTTTTCCCCCCTCCCTCTCTCCACTCTCCCCAATCAACATCATATCTGCTCACTGTTGACTTGTCTTAACAAGTTCAAGGAATTGTTGTGATTGCTGGTGGCCTTCTTCCCCGCCACCCCCCGCCACCATTTGTTTGCATATTTATTTATTTGTTTATTTATTTATTTATTTTTAGCTCCCACAAATAAGTGAGAACATGTGGTATTTCTCTTTCTGTGCCTGACTTATTTCACGTAATATAATTTTTTCCAAATCCATCCATGTTGCTGCGAATGGTAGTATTTCATTCTTTTTTATAACAGAGTAGTATTCCATTGTGTAGATATGCCACATTTTATTTATCCACTCATCCAATGATGGACATTTGGGCTGGTTCCAACTCTTGAATATTGTAAATAGTGCTGCAGTAAACATTGGAATACAAGTATGCCTTCAACATGATGATTTCCATTCCTCTGGGTATATTCCTAGCAGTGGAATAGGTGGGTCATATGGTAGATCTATCTGTAATTGTTTGAGGAACCTCCATACCATTTTCCATAAAGACTGCACCATTTTACAGTCCCACCAACAGTGTATGAGGGTTCCTTTTTCTCCACAACCTCTCCTGTGTTCTTTGCAGGCTTTTATTGTGGCTCAAGAACTAAATGTTGAGTTTCTCAAGGCTGAGCTCCTTCCTTTCCTGGACTCTCTCTCAATGATCTCATCCATTTTTGAGCTCTGATGACCATCTGTATATCAACAACTCCCAGATTCCAGCCCAGCTCAGACCTGTCTTGTAAGCTATAGTTCTTTATACTTTTTGCCATTGATTGATTTCTCACAGGTACCTCTGTCGGCAGAAGTACTAAACTCTCCAATTTCCTTACCAACCCTGAAGCACTTCCCCCATCTCAGTAAATGTCTCTACCATCTATTCAGTGCTCACCTCAGAAATCTAAGCAATATCCTTGCAGTCATGCATAATTTAACTCCAATAATGAACACACTTGTTATTCATTATAGACAATAAGTCCTGTTTACTGTAATGTCTGGATGGATATTTCTCAAATCCATCGCTATTGTTCCATATCCTTCATTACCATCATCTCTGTCTTGGACTAGGTCATATCCGCCTATCGTCTCCTCACATCTTTTTTGGCCCTCATTCAATCCATCTTTGCCACTACGGTCAAACAATCTAGAAAAACTACCACCTAAAATCTAATCATATGGCTCACTTTATCAAAACCCTTAAAGGACTTTCCACTGTCCAAGGACTAAAGTCCAAAATCCTTAATGGGGACTTCATGCCTGCATGATCTGGCCCCTATATGCCACATCAACCTCAGTTAGCATTGCTCTCTTTCCTGCTCATCTTTCTTTTTGTTCTTTTAATGCACAGAACCTTCCTAATACACAGTCTCCTCTGTATAAGTCACCTTTCACTTCTGTTTTCCTCTTGTGTTGCCTGACCCGTTATATACTTTGTTTTATATGTATACTTCTTTCTGTCCTCAGTTCAAGGGGAGGTTTCTCAAGATAGTCTCTGTGACTCACCAGTCTAAACTCTGTCCTCTCATTTTATGCTCTCATTGTATACTGAACTAATTCACAGCATTTCTCACAACTTTGTCACACTCTCTGTTTATTTTCTACATCTGGCACAGTGACTAGCAGATAGCAGGTGATCTGTAAATGCTTGTTGAGAGAAGAGATGAATATAACACCTGACTGTTTACAAAGCACTTTTACAAATGTTTTCTCCAAAGTAAGATAAGTAGTAAGTTCACCAAATTAAGGCCATTGCTCTATTTCACCATAAAAGCTGACACTATACATAATGTGATAGGTATTTAAATTTGGCAATTATAGTAGCAATGGCTGTGATTTAGAAATACATTTGTGTAAGGTAAAATTTATTATCTATCTTGTAGGATCACTTTTAAAAATTAAGGCATTTAATTAATAATTTATACCTAAAATTAATAAGAATAAGAAGTCTAGAAAGTACGAAAATATTAAGACTTTTATCCCTAGCGATGAGTTTCTGGACAGTTTTTATTGTGTCCTTTCTCCTTTTGTTTTACCTGGATTTTATTTATGTCTTCCCCCACCGCAATCAGCATATATTTGATAATATTAAAATTTTCTAATCCCTAGAAATATAGAAAAAAAGACAATAGACGTTAAAAAATTAGCAGACTATTTTTTAGGTAATGGTCATTTTTCACTATGATTCTTAATTCTATTCTGAGAAGTTTTCAATGCCACACCTTCTGGAAGCTCTCTCTTCCTGTCTTCTATGACATGACAATCTCCTTGTTTCCCTTTGCTATGGTTTGAATGTGTTCCTCAGAGTTCATGTGCTGAATACTTAATTGCCAATGTAGCAGTGTTATGAGGAGAGGCCTCATGTGCATCACCTCCTGTACACGTCAGTCTCGCAAAGAAATGCACACACACACACAATACCGGGTCACAGTTCGGTCAGATTTAACCATTAAACATCACTTTTTTCATTGCATCTCTATATTTGCTGTTTGCCTTGTCCTGGTTTAGAGGGAGGTTAAAGCCAAGGCTTCTCTCTCACCATCAATAATTGGTACTGTTTGACTGCTTAGCCAAACAAGAGTGTTTCTTATTTAAAGGAATTCCACCCAAAAGTCCCACAAAAATCATCCACTCATCTTTGGAAATTTGTTACAGGAATGTCATGTCTATGTGTCTCCTCAGATCCAAGAAATATTACTTCTTTAAATTATTTTTAAAATCAGCCTCTGAAGTCAAACTGAAGAAGAGGATGATGTAAGGCAAGAGGGAAAAAAGAAGTGAGGAATAGAAAGGGCATCAAAGATCACTGCCCACAAGGAGCCATTAAGATCACCATGGAGGCACGATTAAAAAGGGAAAACAGAAAAAGCTTAAAGTCACATAACAACATAACAAACACAAGGGCATTAGCCTGGAGGACAAAGCGCAGCACTCAATGAGTGCTGCATATTCAACGGCAGAAGCCGGTAGATCTGGGCCTGGCCCGGCTGTAGCTGGTTCTCCTGTGATTTCAGCTCCATTTCCTGCGTAACACCCACTCATACACCTCATCTTCCCACCATACTGAAGTACGTGTCTGTGCCTCCCACCTTCCTCTCCCCATGCCCTCTCGCTCCCTCCCCCTGATAACGCAGATCCTTCTGCCTGGACTTCCCTATATTGTCCTGTGTGCCCAGAAGACTTCTATTCAACTGTGCAAGTATTTCCTTTCTGATGAAGCCTTCTCTAACTAATGTGGGCTCAGTCAATAACTCTTTTCTCAAAGTCTCCATAGCAATTTATGCATGGCTATCAATGCTGACATTTCAACAGTATGTTATCATTGGTTACGGGTTGCTATTCCCCAAACCTCTATGCTCCTCTTTTTTTCCCGGGAATTCTTTCACTCCTATTATGGGAGTGATCATTTACGAACTGATGCTGACTCACAGACATGCAACTCTGGCCAAGACCTCTCTCCTGAGGTCTGCTGTACACAGACTTACTGAACATTTCATCATGGACAGTTCACTTGCAGATTTCACTATCTAACATGATCCTATTTATGTATTTATTGGTAGTTTATTTTCTGTCTCCCCAACACCTTCCTTCATGGAGTAGATAGCTACTACTTAGGAGACGGTCTGGCCTATAGTCAACACTCAACACATATTTTTAAAGTATTTACCCCAACGCAAACTCATTATCTTTCCTGTGAAGTTTGTACAATCTCCTTAGCTCCCTACTTTGATTAATAACATAACCATATACCAGTCACTCAAAGCTGGAGCTATTTTAAATAACTTTCAATTTTACTCTTAATATGCAATTGGAGGATAAGGGTTTCTTAACATTCTTTTCCTGTTTCCACAACCGCTGCCACAATCCAGGCACTCATCATCCCCTAAAATATGACAGTTGTCTCTTAATTGCTCTCCTTTCCTGCAGTCTTAACCCTTTCCAGGTCACCCACAGTACAGTTTCAGAGTGTTATTTTTGAATCACAAATCAGGGCATAGGATTCCATTACTTTAAACTTACTTATGTGATTGCTTTTTGCTTATAGGACTAGGTTCTAAAATCCCTAGATACTGTGTTTGAAAATGTTAGCTGTAGTTACTTCTCCTGTTTCATTCAATTGCCAGTTACTAACTTTCCTTTAGAGGTGCAACCTAGACAACATATACTGCATGAAACCTTTTCCAAAATCTGTGTTTCAGGTAGGAAGGAACACTCCCTCTTTGGTGTCCCACTGGGCCTCACGCACGCATCTGCTGCAGCCACTACATGTCTTTATTTACGTGTCCATCCCCCTGATAGGCTGAAAACTCCTTGACAGCCAAGACTGTGTGAATTCATTTCTATGTCTCCAGGAATGTGGTGTCAGATATGGGGGGTGCTCGTTATAAGTTTACTGTATAAATGAATGAATAAAATAGAAAACAACAACAACAACAACAACAACAACAACAAAAACACATGGGCCTTTAAGAGGTGATTGCCTTCATGAACAGATTCATGCCGTTATTGCGGAAGTTCGTTCTCCCAGGAGGGAGGGAGTTCTCAAGAGAATGGGTTATTAGAAAAGTGAGTTCAGTTTGTTCTTGCAATCTCATTCACCCATGCTCTCTTGCCTTCCAGCTTTTGCCACATTATGTATAAAAGCCCTTGTCAGAATCTGCCCCCATTCCCTTGGACTTCTCAGCCTCCAGAACTGGGATGCAAATAAATTTATTTCCTTTGTAAATTACCCAGTCTTGGGTATTCTGTTATAGGAACAGAAAGCTAAGACACCCTCTTTTCTCCACTAGCAGACTCTTTTGTGACCTAATTCTTCTTTGCCCAAGTGTTAAATGTTGGGAGTTCCTGAGGGATCTGTTCTGGATCTTTTATTTTGGGGATATGCCAAACTTGCACACTCTGAAATGAAAATTAGGACAATAGGTCATTTCCTTGAAACAAAAAATTCATTTCATTTTGAACTTCCTCGTTTTCTGATCATAGCACTTATCTTTCTGTTTCGTAAGTACTGACTTTCATCAGTAGCTTATGTATCTTATGTGCAGCAGAAAGGCTTGATTGCCATGAAAGGAAAATATAGACATAAAGACTTGTGAAACCAGAAGCCAGGTTACCAATGATTGCCACTTGAATAAGTTAGGGGCCACAAGGAAGTCATGGAGAATTCTCCTGCTTTACAGTAGTCCAGAGTATAGGGAATTGAGGGAGGGAGTAGGGATAAAGAATACTAGGGATGGAATAAGGAAAATGAATGACCAAATAGTGAACTTTTTAACTTTTTTCTGCTTCTTGTAGAGTGGTAGCATTATTCTTAAAAAAAATAAATAAATAAAATTAAATAATGTATATCTGAGGTCGGGCAAAGGGCATAAAGAAATATCATGATTTGTAAGAATGAATATGCTATAATAAATAAAAATTTAAGATAAAAAATATGTACAAAATACACGTTAATTGGGAAACTCAGAAAAATGCAAATAAGAAAAAATAAAAAATAGAAATCATCTGTAAAGTATCCACTCCTAATATTTGGATGACTTTCTACACTTTAATATTTATTTGAATTTATATTAAAAAAATTTAATTATGCTTTTTATGATGTTTTATAATCTGCTTATTTGATACATTTGTTTCATTCTTAAAAAATAATTTTTTGTAATTCCATAATATTACTAAATTGTGGTTTTATGAAGGTAGGCTATCTAGTGTTTGCAGACCAGCTTAACTTTAGCAGGATCCACAATACTGGGAATATCTTCCAAACTGAATGATACTTCTAGCTGAATGTGTTTTTAGGGTGGTTATTGTACTTCTACAAATTGGTGAAGTAAATAAAACCAATCTTTAAAATAAAATTCCCAATTGAAGGGGAAATTCCCTCATGAAAAGTAAATATTCTCTTTCCCACTGTGTGGGGGTTGTATAGCAATAAATAGGTTAGAGCTGATTTCGGTAAATTATTTTTGACAGGTGTTTGTGTGTTTATTTCATATATTAGCAATTAAAGCAAAATGTTTAGTTCCAGTATGAAAATGTATCTAAACCTGCTAAATTATTAACCTAGAAGTTATATCTAATTTACTCACATAAGCAGATCAGTAAGTAATATTCATTTTCAGTTTGGAAGTAATGTTTCTTTTACTTTAAATGTATTCAGCCTTTTAAAAGTGTACATTTTTAAAACATTTAAAAAAATGTTTAAAAATATATTTGATAGTTTCTCAGCTTTTAAATTGTTTTTTCTTCATAATCATCACCATTAAACAAAGAACAGGGGTGAAAGTTTAATTGTTAATTGCTACATTAAGGCAAAGTCACATTGTAACTTAAAGATTGTTTTTAACAAATAAATTGCTTTTTTCATTACTAAACAATTTGAATGAAAGTATATATTCATGCTGATGAGATACAATAATTTAATATTGATGATTCATTTTTACATGTTACATAATTACATCAGAATCTAAGGTATTAAACAGTGATAATATGATATCACATCGTATGTTTATTAATTTCTTTAGGAATACTTCCCAAATGATGTAAAATTTCTGGTAAAATAGCAATGGTTTCTGAAATTTTCCATTTTTCCCTAGTGAATTATATTCTTGAACAATGTCATTTTTAAGCACATAAATGCTACATTTACTTTTTAAAATGCCTTAAAATTCCTTCTAATATATTATTTTCTAAACATGAAAATATTGTGACAAATTGTTTCAAATGATTTAGAAACTTAAAATTTTTTCATAAATGGTTGTAATTATTTACCTACATCCAATTACTATTTTTGTTGAAACATAAGTTACTGAGACATTAGCAAATATAACAAATCCCTTTAAATAAAGTAAATTTAGCATTTGACAACTAAAACAAGACTTTGTATTTGGTAGAAAATAAATGCAAAGGAAAAAATTATGACTTCTTTTAGTTTCTTTCGCTGTTTTACATTCACTTATGAACAGTCCATTTAAACATTATTTAAAATCTTAATTGCTCAGAAGTCACTTTAAAAAGAAGCTCCCAGCAGAAGGCTGGCATTCCTTCCCATACCTGAGAAACATGCGTTAACAGTATAGCTCACCATTCTGTTGGAAGGCCTGATCCCTTGACAGAAAACTCTGCCAGCAACTGGAGACAGCTTCTGACCCAGCGCTGTGCTGCTAGTCGTGCTTAGTGCAGTCTGATTTACATATTATGCAGCCAAGATGAATAATTTAGAAGTCCAGGAATAACTCAGTCAAACCTCCAAATCAGAGATGTTCACGTACAGGAACTTCTTCAAAGTGTAGACATAAAATAAATGACTCATTTTACAGAAAACATATCAAATAAACAGATTTTGAAAAGACTGCTGTTGAAATTATTCTACCCACTACCAAACAACAGAGAAGCATTCCTTATTTTCATATTTAGACAATAAGAAACTGTTTACAAGGAACTGTCAGCACTTTCTGTGTTGGGTATGGTTGCTTCTTCTGCTTTTTCTTCACTTTTCAATTTCACAATTTCTGGTGAATTCTATAGTGGGTATATAATAGCTAAACTGCTGTTATCAACAATTTTGAGGGAAGTATAAGACTGAAATTTTGGAGGGAAATCTAGATGTATGCTTTGTCAGTATACTAGCAAAGGGATGCTAGAGCTTTACGTTGTCTCCATTTTATTTTCTATGATTAAAATCAAGAGTCACATAAAAAATTCATCAGGTGGCTAGGGATTAGGAAGAAGGGTGCTGTCTAAATAAAATAATCTCAATAGATGGCAATTTACCCCAGTCAATGCTCTGAATAACACCTGGAAGCACATTACCACCATTTCAGACTGGAAGCACACGTGGCCTTTTCTATGGATTATATCAGATTTACATTCAAGTGAAAACTCAATCTGGTTGGTGTGTAGCATTAAGATTATGCTGAGTAAGTCCCTGACTATACAAGCAGTAGGAATTCAATTTGAATGTCACGTGAGTTGAATGCTGAGATAGCAATGGCAGGCAGAAGCTCTGTTACAGTCATTGTCCCAACCAAGCATTTCCTCTTCCCCAATATCTGACAGCCTAAAACTCAGAAACTTCAATATATATGTATACACACACACACACACACACACACAAATACACATTATACTCATGTGTTGATAGATAATATACTTAAAGTTATATACATGTATGAAATATAAATTTATTTATAAATGTATAAACATTTGTATATAAAATATGTATATTGACATGAAAAAATATCTCTGAAATTTGATGAATTCTTATGATATCTCAGGTATTGCACTAAACACCTTTATACATTGAGTGCTTATAATAATCCCTGTGAGGTTGTTGTTATTTTAAATTTTTTTCGTTTTACAGATTAAAATACTGAGGCTCAGAGAGGTTAATTAACTTTCCCAAGGTCACATAATCAATAAGGACAAGAATGGAGTTTAAGCCTGTATATCTTGATTCTAGAAGCACCTGCTCTGATTCTCGATGGCTGCAAGATTGAATGACAATACCCTTGATGTACACAGTAAGCCCAAGAATTAATGACAGGTATTTTTTCAGAAATGCAGCTCTTTTCTACTTTTAGAAAGAAGAAAAACTAAAAGATTTTTGTCTATAATTTTAAAAGGGCAAAAAGCATTTGAATAACCAGTGCCAGTTTTGTTAATTTTAGACATAAACTAACATGGACCCCCTCCAAGCCACAAAGGCACATGGATATATTTCACAGGTTTCTGAGAACATTCAGATGGAAGACAAGAGTGATTCACTCTTTGTGGAGTGGTGGCATCTCCACAGAACTTCCTCTGTCTTCTCCCCCTTCCTGACTACCACCTCTCTCTGCACTGCTAAGAAAAAAACTCCTTTTCACAAACAAAAACGCCTCCTTTTTCACAGTACGAGCACCCTAGACTGTGGCCTCGTAGCCTTGCTTTTGTTCCAAGTCTTACTTCACCAAGAATCCCATTGCTTCAGAATGCCCACAAATGAGCACTCTGGGACAGACAATAAAAGATCTCCGAGTACTTCTGTAGTTTTTTATATCACGAAACTTTATGCAGGTTTATAGAAAGATAACTGCACAGAGGCAAGGCCAGATTTGCAGTGCCATGGCCTGCTATCTGTGCAGTCCCAAAGCTCTCGCTCTCAAAATGGTCACACATTTGATTTAATGCTATAATGTCACATTCTTCATTGACATTCTTAATACTTTTTTAACAAGGGAACCCATATTTTCCTTTTTCACTGACCCGTGCAAATTATGTAGCCAATTCTGCCTGTGAAAGTTCAAATCTCCTAGAACATGATTTCTATTCGACACGTACAATTTTGATGGGGCAAAGATTTTTTATTTCGGTTTGGACTTTTTATTTTAGAAACAGTATGACATATTGAAATTCACTGGTAGAAGAGTGATGAAAGTTTGAAAGGCAGTAAATTTTGCATTATAATTTGCTATATAAGAAGCGGTATTAAAAAACACAACTACTGCCTTCTTTCAAATCTTGACTTCACCACTAGAGCTTTCAGTTTTCTTATCTGTAAAGGAGAAATAATAAAAGTGCCCGTCTCAGGGAGTTAAGTATATAGTCGAAGTACATAATACATACATATACCATATAGTATGGGGTACATATTTATTGTAAATAAATATCGGCTATTACAGAAATTTGTAACAAATGAGAAGACGTTCTTCAAATGACAATGTCAATTCAATGCCATCAACATTAGAATATTTGGTGCTCAAGAATATCCATTTAAAATAATCTTAGAAAAGCCAATATGGTGAAAAGATTAGTGAGTTCTTGTCCTGGCTTTGCCTTTTACTAGCTGGGTAATGTTTGAAAAAAATCACATAATTTGATTTTTTGTTTGGAAAAGGGGAATAATAATTCCTACCCCATAAACCTCATAATGTTCATAGTATCAAATGAGACAATATTTGAACGTGCAGTGGGCTAGGAACGCAAGAGCAGTTCATGCAAACCAAGAGTATTAGTAAAGACATTTAAGAGGAAAGAAAACGTGGCGGAAAAGACAATCAAAATATTAATTAAATCCAATGTTAATAACAACTTCCACTAACATGTTTTGAGCACTCATTCTGTAACCACACTGTGTATGCATTAATTCCTTTAATACTCACAAGAATTTAATGCAATGCATCCTATTAATATTCCTTATTTTCTGACAAAGAATCTGAAACCTAACAAAGATTAAATAAATCACCCTCAATTACACAGCTAATAAATGACTGAGCTAAATTGAAGCCTTGTCTCTTGACTACTGAACCCAAGCTTTTGACCATTATTCTCCCTCTTTCACAGTAAAGAAGAAAATATTACGTTGAAACGTAAAATTATTGATAGTGGAAAATTTTTACCTTACATATGACAATTTAATGTGGTTTAATCTAATAAAAATAAGTTTAAAACTAACAACAAATCTAATTATTGGTTATCAGAATTATTGGTTATGAAATTTAATTATTTAAAATTTCCAACTAAAAAGAATAGAATATTTTAGATAAGAAACCAGAAAATAAATATCTAAAGTGTTTCTTAGAAGCTTCTACTAGCAACATCTCTGGGCGTGTTTTCAAGGTGCATTTCTTTAAACAGCACAAAAAGTCTGTGTGGAAAACAAACTTGTCTAAGAGTCAAAAGAATCACAGCAGGAAATGAGGACGGCAATTAATCAAATTCAAGGAATTTCCCCTATACCCTTAAGGGGAAATAACAACAATAATAACCCAAAGAGTTTGAAACAAATGAAGATTATTAAGGAGGATATTATGTTCCTAAGAGTATATGACCAAGACTACATGGTTACTTCTCTATTCAAAGATTCAAAGTTTTATGTAGGGAAAAAAATAAAGAGAACAGAAAAAGGGCAAACACGGTAGAGGGTATTTGTGGGTTGTCTCTAAACTCTTTCTGCTTCTAAAATTAAATTACTCTATTAACCAAACTTACTTTACCATGGAAAAAGTTTAAGATGGCAATCAAGCTGAGGCAAAGCAATCTGTTCCTTCTTTATGTGAAAATCCTTGTCAATTAAGTGTTACACTAGTAATGCAAAATTTTACATTATTCCTTTTTTTCTTATCACACAGTTGAGGAAAAGTGTGTCATATCTATTAGTACTGGGCATAATTGAAAAAAATTGTTTTCTGCTGAATTAAAACACTTGTGAAAAGTATCTGGCAATAGTTGAAAGATTTTAAGATCCTTAAAAGTATTAATAGTTTACCTAGAAACACAACAAACTAACATTTTCAGTTTATATTAAAATTCTAACCGCTAAATGATTTTTTAATGCTATGTGGTAAACCTTAATCACAGGTGTTTCTCTATTAAAATAATACCTTGTTTACCTGACAGAAATCAAGATATATGAAATTCAAGCAAAGATGTTGATTGAAGGAGTTGGAAATGATACAATAAAAGGAACGGGCCATTTACATTCAAGAAATGTACTTAGAGTGAGATGGTTACAGCCTTATCAAACAAGTGGACGCAGCTGCTGCATTTCGCTCCAGTTGCAGTGAACAAACACAGACTTTTGTTTAGAGTGAATGTTCTTTTGGCACAAACCTTTGTGTTCTGAGGTTCTTTGGTTTTGAAATTCAGCCACTTATCAAGGCATAGCCATTTTTATTTTTAAAAAGATGCCTTTTCCTGAAATATTAAAATAATTTATTCATTTGCAAATTGGTTATTCAACTGCTCTTTCCAGTTGCATTTACTGTATTTTGTACAATTTTGCTTGATTCTTGGAACGTTTTACATTATGAAATGAAAAAGCTACTAGTTTGTTGTTTTGATGTGCATGCAAGCACTTTCAATTGGCTACTAATTAACCACTCTCCATCTCACTTGCTCTAATGTGTTATTTGTCCCTGGAATAAAGAACTAGAGTCAGTTTGAATCTCACTGAGCATTTTAGAAATTGAATTGAGAAGTTTTCAAAATTCCCTGGAGTACAGGGAATATGTTCATTATGTGAGCTAAGTGCTTTATGACCATGTTATGAATTAAATAAAGGAGATAACCTGTCCCCGTTAATAAAACATTTAGAGGCAGGATTCTCTTGTATTAGTATCTTGATCTCTGCAACATACTCATTAATGTAATTATTAAATTTAAAGTT